AAAGTCGATCGCCATCGCTTCTGCCATCTCCGAGTCCCATTGCCGGTGCGACCGTTTAACAACAGCTAGTCGAAGATCCCCAGCTCTAGTGCGAACGATCACCCCCAAGCCTGTCCCAAGATCCGAAAAGCATGCCGCATCAACATTGATGGTGAGCTCCGCAACCTTCGATGGACTCCATCTCTCTCGTTTTTCGCCGGCGTGGGTCTCTCTTCTCTGTTGTGCTTCCAGGTATTCATCGAGCCATCTTTCTGCCTGCCCAATTATTTCCGATTTTTCCATTTTCGGTTTATTCCACAGATGACAATTTCTTTGATCCCAAGTGAACCACAGTGCCACCAAGAATCGTTCCAGCATCTCATCCGTGGCCATCTCCTGTAATTCACACATCCATTCCTCCGAGGTAAGGTCCTGACCCTTCTTGAACATATAGATTAGAGAGCTAGGTCTCCAAACCCTCTGTACCCAACCGCATTCCTGAAAAATGTGTCTCTGAGTCTCCGACAGGCCACAGAAAGGGCACTCTTCATTTCCTTCTTGAATCATGGACACTATCTTAGCCACTGTAGGGAAGATATTTCGAACCCATTTCCATGCAAACACCTTAACCTTCTGAGGGATATTAAGCTTCCATAGCCTTTCCGAGTTGACTGGGGAGTAGATCTCCCCTAGCTCTTCTTCGTTTCGATTAAACCACAATTTGTAGGCTGATTTCACTGTATAGTCCCCTGTTTTCTCTAAGCCCCAGACTCTTTCATCTCTGGTTAACTACACGGGGATGGGGATCTTAAGTATGTTCCTCTGGTCATCCATATGAAAATGTTCCTGTAGTAGCCCTAGATTCCAGTAGTGTGTATCAAAATCAATGAGTTCAGCAACTGAAGTAGTGTCTCCAATGGGAGTCACTAGGGTCTGGATTTTGAAACCTTTAGCTGCTGCTACCCATCTGTCCTGCCAAACACGTTTGGTATTCTAACTTGCAAATTTGGATTTTGGATGAGGAATTGATAGTGTAGTTATTTGGAGGAAATCTGGAAATTTGGCTTGGACGAGGTGCATCTTTGATGTTTATGAAATAAGCAACACCCAGAAAACAAACCCAAAAAAAAAAATTGTGACCAATACTGCAATTAACTCGAAAATGAATTGTGACCTATACTGACATTAACCCGAAAAATAAATATTGAATTACTGTAAACAAAGTCTCTGTTGCTAAATCTTTTGTAACCTTCTGCGACTATTGATCCGTCGCAAAATAACATTTTTGCAACGAAGTATTCGTCGCAGAATATGCGAATTTTCTGCAACGGCGGAAACGTCGTCGCAAAATGGTGATCTTGCGACGAATCTACCGTTGCAAATCATTCACTTTCAACGACGACATGGATCATTTTTGCAACGAAGCTGTTTTTTTCGTCGCAGCACTTTCTGCGACGTTGTATGGGCGACGAACTATTTTGTCCTTTTTGCGACGGAAGAATTCGTCGCAGAAGGTTTCTACGACGAATTTTTTGCCTTTCTGCGACGAATTTGTCCGTCGCAGAAAGTGAAGTTTCTTGTAGTGTATGTTCTTGTACTCTTTGATGCCTTTTGGATATGCTTTTGATGGTTTTGAAGATACAAAGCAACCTAAGGATGATTGGATCAAGCATTGGAAAACTATGGAGGACTAAAGGAGCTTTATAAGAAAAAATATGGAGCTTTCATGAGAAATAAGAGCTCAATGACGAAAAAGTCTACTAGAAGTTGCTATATAATCACAAGACAAGCCCATAGGAGAAAGACTCGGCCCAAGCCAAAGAAAGAACAAGCGGTGGCCCCACAACGGGTCCAACTGCTGCTACCCAAGGATATGTCAAGATGGGCCCAAATTGCAAGGAGGAGTCATCCAATGTCAGAGGAGCCCATCCCATGAAGAAAAAGAGCAGTGGTTCAAACTGCCGCCTTGCCATCGGTAAACCCTAATCCTTGTGGGAGAAGTTTACTTAGCACATAAGGTTTAGGAGACTTCCTAGTTGGTTTAGGATGTTTTAGGTCGGGATTTTCCCCTATAAATAGAGGGAATGACCCATTAGCTTAGGAAGGTTGCACAAACATACAAATTCTCTGTCACTCTACGTGAGTGATAGCCTAGCTTTCGTAGGAGAGTATGCAGCTAAGAAGAAGATGTTTATAGTTATGTGAATGAATCAATTATTTTTAATGATTGTAATCATAAATTTGCATTACGCAAAGACTGAGAAAGTCAATTATTTTTAATGATTGTAATCAAATGTGATACTTTTTGTAACTTAATTCTTTTTAAGTCTTCCATGATATAAATTTGAACACAATTTTCTCTATTATTAACTAAAATGTCGAAGGTATCATAAATTTGCATTACACAAAGGCTCAGAAAGTCAATTGTTTTTAATGATATTGTAATCAAATGTGATTTTGTATCTAAATTCATTAGTTATCAACTAAACTTCGTTCTATTATTATTTATTTTATTATAAAATTGCATTGCAAAAAGGTTCTGTTAGATAAGTTCACTTTGACACAATAGTTAATCAAATGTGATTATATTTTGTAACTTGATTTTATTATAGGACAACAAATTACAGAAGATTTGTATAACATTCTATATTAGTTCCGTAAATTACAAGTACAATACATAAATTTATTGAGAGATAGTTAATTCTTATGTATAAACTAAACAAATATATTATGTAAAAGTTAACTTACATAACAAAACCTTTTCATATGCTTATATTTGGTCATTTTTTTCAATTTTTAACCACATCTTGACTATTACATGAAAAAATATGCTTTTTAGATCATGAAATGGAGGCTCGCATTGGATTAGAAATAGAGGATCATAGTAAGTTATAACTACTTTTTAGATCATGATATGGAGGCTCGGTTTGGATAATAGAAATAGAGGATCACACTAAGTTATAACTACTTTTAAGATCGTGAATGAAGGCTCACATTAAGTTGTACAAATTGATGCTCGATGGATTTACACATTCATGGGGATAAAGCTAAAAATTTTGAAGAACTTGATTATTAAACGGTAACTCAATATTTCAAGAACTTGCGGTGAGAAATTGCTCGCCAAACGAAAGATAGCATAACCAAATAGAAAAACAAAAAATATGACAAAAGATAAGAAAATGCCAACACACTAAAAACAAAATAATCACTCGCCACTATTACTTAGTATAAGTTTGGAAGACATGTCATTTATTATTAATGAAATTGTTGATTATCTTATCAATTTGCATTACACAAAAGTTCTATAAAAGTTAGTTATTTTTCGTGTCCATTTAATCAAAGTGATATTTTTCATAACTAAATAAATTTATTATGATCTATAATATTCACTATATCATTAATTTGCATTATGCGAAGGTTTCATAAGACAAGTTAACTTTTAAATAGTAATTTAATAAGTGATATTTTTCGTAGCTTGATTTTATATTAGTAGATCGACCACACATTCTAAAAAATTTACATAACATCGTTCTATAAAAATTAAACCAAAAGTTTATAGCGTAAATTTTATGGAACGACAGTTTATTTCTTATGTATCAATTATACTAAATGTATTATGTAAGTATTTTCTAATGATTAAGATCTTACGTAACACTTATGGAGGGATAGTCACTTCTAATATAGAAACTAAACAAATAGATAACGTATGTCTTCCATGATATAATTTTGAACAAGATTTTCTCTATTATTAAGTAAACTATTGATTGTATCATAAATTTGAATTACGGAAAGGCTCTGAAAATCAATTATTAATTTTTAATGATATTTTAATCTAATGTGATACTTTTATAAAGTATTCTATTATTAATTATATTTTGTAATTTGATTTTATTACGTAATACTTACATAACATCGTTCTATAGTAGTTATGTAAAATTTATTAGAATTATACATAGAGGTGATGGAGCTATGTATCCAAATTATTTGATTTCAAACTAAATTATTAAATTAAGTTTTAAATATGTTTAGTTTACCATCGCAGCGAAGCACATGTCAAAAAAATAGTTATTAATTAAACTTGTCACAACAATGCTTTTGAAATAAAAATTAAAAATTTCAGAGTGCTTACAATAAAATAAAAATATCACTTGTAGTAAGATGCGAAGTGGGAAATAACGGGCCACAGTAACAGTAGTTCAAGTTCACAGTTGCATGTGCTCTTCGTATAACATGATTACCTTAGAGTCGGAACCGCAAATAAGTGTTTGGCCTCAGTGGCGTAGCCAAGATTTTTTGTAAGGTGGGTCCGAATTTTTTTTATATTGCAAGAAAAATTTGAGTTATTGCCGTGCCCTATAATGTGTTCTCATATATTACTTGCATTCATATGATATCGATGTCAATATACCTTATAAAATAATCATTCATGATTATGTCACCCATTAGATACCAAAGAGTGTATTCACGTGGCTCATTGAAAATGTCATTTCAATACTTGCAGTGGAGCCTTAGTTAGCAACAACAATAAGTTACTTCTTTCAATTACCATGATTCAAAAAATAACTCCTAAATATTCTATATAGTTTTAGACAATAGCTAGCCTATATTCACGTCAAAGTATACATATAATAATCTAGTTGAGGTTTAAAACCTGATATATTAAATTTATTATTAGAATAAAAAGAATCTAGCGAGTTTCAACAAAAGAAAGTTTTGTCGATATATAATGAATAAACATGAACTGGTTGAACCACGATTAAACCACATTTTCAACATAAAATATCCTACCACTGACTTGTTCGATATAACTTTTGGTAGTATTTTTAATTCTTATTATTTAAGCGTACATATTTTCTTCCATATCTAGCGTCTCTGGCTTTAACCCATCTGGCAACTTCCAATAAAATCCATGAACCAGCGAGCCCAACATCATATGTAACATTCTCAATGCCAACGGTTGTCCTAGACATCTTCTTCTTCCATAACCAAATGGAAGCAGCTCAAAACTGTTGTCCTTCCCATCAACCTTCGAACCCAAAAATCTTCCTGGGATGAAAGAGTTTGGATCTACCCATGTTGTCGAATCCCGACCTATAGCCCATACATTAACTAGAATTTGGGCAGCTTAGGGCACAGTAAAACCATGAATTTCCACATATGTTGTTGCCTTGTGAGGAAGTAGTAGTGGAGTTGGTGGGTGTAGCCTAAAGGTTTCTTTCATTATTACTTGCAGATATGGTAACCGAAGGATATCCGATTCCTGAAGATGAATGCATTTTCCAATAATTTGGTCTGGTTCTATCTCGGCTTTAGTGAGTGTCTCAGAGTTGAGGAGTAGCTCTGTCATTGCCCATTCTAGTGTGCTTGTAGTTGTATCCGTACTTGCTACGAAGAGATCCTAATTAATTAAACCAAAATTAGACGGTAATGAAAAGAAAATAAAAATAAAAAAGACCGACCAATCAATAAAAACTCATTTGGGTTAATTGCAAGGTTGGTCACTGAGATTACCATAAACGTTCATATTTTGTCACTAAAAATATTTAATTCCATTCGTGATCACTAAAATTAGTAAAACATTTCAATTTCGGTCATTCTCCGTCCAACTCCGTTAATTTTGGCTGATGTGGCAGTCAACTCTCAAAGTTGATCGTTAAATGTGTGAAGTGACACTTAAAAAGAATAAAAAATTAAAATTTTATATATTAAATATTCCACCTAATTATTATCATCACTAAAAAATATCACCAAAAATAATCATCACTTAAAAAGTAAAAATAAAAACCTAATTCTTCTACTACCTCCGTTGAACCCACTTTCTCCACCCCGACCCCACTTGTTGAACCTACTTTCTCCTCCCCGACTCCACCCGCCGCCATCACGACCAATCCTCCCTGTGAAAAACTCCATGACGGCAAAATCAGAACTCCCCAAATAAAAAACAAGACAGTAAAGAAGGTATCAATTGGGGAACCAACGTACGAGGACGATGAGGGAAATGGGCAAGAAGGGAAGAGAGCGGGACTTGGAACTGAAAAGAGCGCAACCACTGCCGTTGTCACCGTACTTGTGACCAGGCGCTGCGATCTTCACCTCGCGTGGCGAGGAATGATGCGTTGGCGAACCCTAACCCTAGGGCCGAATGTCGCAGGCGGAAGATGAGTCCCTTGGGGAGCCAGAGGGATAGGGCGGCGTCGCGATCGAAATAGTCGCTGGTGGCGAAGCTTCCGGGGAATAATCTCGTGATGGGACAGGTGAAGATATTGAAGCGCGGGGAGTTGCTGGGGAAGAGTGAGGATGAGAAGAAGGGGAAGAAGGTGGTGGATTTGGGATTGGGATCGACCAATCTGTTTGGGCCGGAGCTGGACACGGTTCGGAAGGAGGTTAGGGTGGAGGAGTTTAATAAAGTCGTGGATGTGATGTATGCAGGTTCGGCGTTTTTCACCTTGCCGCCTCCGAGTTCGCTTTCTGTGCCGGCGTTTAGTTGTGTGATCAGTGAGAAGGTCAAAGGATCAGAGATGATGATTTGATAGATGGTGGCGATGATGGTTCGCTTCCAGGTGACCAGTCGGTGCTTCAGCTATGATGACGGCGGGTGGAGTCGGGGAGGAGAAAGCAGGTTCGGCAGAGGTAGTAGAAGAATTAGGTTTTTATTTATATTTTTTTAGTGAGGATAATAATTAGGTGGAATATTTAAAATATAAAGTTTTAATTTTTTTATTTTTATGTGCCACATCACACATTTAATGGTTAACTTTGAGAGTTGACTGCTACATCAGCTAAAGTTAACGGAGTTGGATGGAGAGTGATCGAACTTGAAATGTTTTACTAATTTTAGTGACCACAAATTGAATTAAATAATTTTAGTGACAAAACATGAATGTTTTTAGTAATCTCAATGACCAACCTTGCAACTAACCCAACTCATTTAGAAGATTAGAGTTTATGGTTGATAAAAATGTTACTAATAAGTAATACTGCTATGTACGGGGTGCATATGCATTTGCTAAACGATCGTATGCATTATGTACATAATACTTAGGTTTAATACCTTATTTTGGCCTGAACTATGACCATATAATAGACTTTGGTCTGTGGTTTCAGAAATTAACATCCTGGCCTTAACTATGTAACATATAGACTCATTTGGCCCAACAACTAGTTTGACCGTCAATTTGGATGGTCAACACCATTGATCGTTAGTCAACATGCCATGTCATTGCCTTGTCACCCTAAAAATCATTCAAAAATTCAAATTCAAACTATTTTTTTAATGAACTTGTGGTATGTCTTGTTTCCCAGCGAAACCAAATACCACCGCCGATGCCGAATTCGTTTTCGACGATGTGGATTTGATGTTTCGCGATGGAAACTCTTGCGGTGTCGTTTGATCGGACGCACCACCGACTGTTGAAATCAAAGTGACCGTCAAATATCCACTGCCGCGCGTCGGGCGATGTTGATTTGATCGATGCACCTCTGAATGCTGAAATCAACGTGACCGTCAAATATCCACCGCCTGACGATGTTGATCTGATCGATGCACCTTTGACTTCTAACCAATAACGATCGTTACTCCGTTCACACCTCTCCAAACGATGTTCGAACGAGGGTGTTTGAGTTTTTGGGGAATCTACGTTAAAACTACTCCTATGGAGATTCCTGTGGAGAGCTCCGCGATTACGACTACGACTACTGCTACGACTATGGAGATCCTTCCCGGAAGGAGAGCTCCGCAAGGGATTTACAAAGAAGAAAGGTAAAGTTTGACAGATGTGTTTCTGTGTTGATTTTTGGTTCCCCCTTCTTTCTCCTTGCTCCACTGCTTTTATTCGAAAAACCGCTTCGTAGTCTTCACGTTAGGTGGAACCGGTCCTCAACTGCTCCGTTGTGAACTCCCACGTGTCTCAACCGTCTTGATCTCCTCCTCGCTCGGGTTGGTGTGAATCTCACGCAATGTCGTTTTCTTCCCCAAACAGCTCTGTTTGCTTTTTTACTTCACGACATTGTTTTATATTAAACACTGTCGTTTGCTAATACAACGGTACCGTTGGGCTTACTCGCGGTACCGTTTTTAATTAAACGACACCGCTAACATAGCCAAAAAATTTCAATTCATTGAACCGCCGAGAGTTTGCACTCGCATTGGGTTGGGCGGTATTAGGCCCTTCACTTACCCGATATGGTTTTTTTTATTTATTTAATCGGCACCGCTTATCAAGGCCTCCATCCTGTTTTCTGGTAAACAGTGTCGTTTCCAGTGCCGCGGTACAGGTGAGCTTCCTTGCGGTGTCGTTTAGACTCTCCGCGACATTGTTCTACTCCAAACGACACTGTTTTTTGTCTTGCGACATCGAATTAATTGCCGAGACTAATTAATGTGGCATTTAATTCAGTCCAAAATAATTTTAGGTGTCAACATGTCTTCATAAAAAAGAAAAAACATATGGTATGCTTTTAGAAACCTATAGTATGCTTCCCCTTCCCACTTTCCCCTTGTGGTATGCTTTGATAAACTTGTAATATGTTTTAATGAACTTATGGCGTGCTTTGATAAACTTGTATCATGCTTTAATGAATGTGTGGTATGTTCTTAGAAACTTCTAGTATGTTTCCTCTTTCCCTTCCCACTTGTGGTGTGCTTTGATGAACTTGTGGTAGGCTTTAATAAAATTGTTGTATACTTTTATAAAATTGTGGTATGTTTTCCATTCCTCTTCCCCCCTCCCACTTCCAACTTGTGCCATGTGTTGATAAACTTGTAGTATGTTTAATGAACTTGTGGTATATTTTGATAAATTTGTGATATGTTTTATCTTCTCATTCCCCTCTCCCTTCCCACTTGTGATTTGTTTGCTAAATTTGTGATATGTCTAATTAACTTGTGGTATGATTTATTAAATTTGTGCTATGTTTTAATGAATATCACTTTTAGAAACAAAATTTAGTAAATCTTAATACTTCGTGTCTAAATTTTTTTTTTTTACAAGTAAGTTATGAAAATATTGATAAAAATTATGTTTTAGTACCTATTTTTCTTTACATTTTGATATATGAAATTTTAAAATTTACAAATAGATCATATATTATGTTATGATTATTTAAGAAACTTTTCATATGCTTCATAGGATTTGGTATGCTTTAATAAATTTGTAGTGTGCTCTATGAGAATTGTAGTATGCTTACTTGTGGTATGTTTCATGAGATTTGTTTGCTTCATGAATTTGTGGAGTGGTTGTTATTTCTGTGGTGTGGTGAGATTGTGTGGTCATTTCTAAGGTTTGGGATATGTGTTTGGTAGTCCCCAACCCATTTCTCCAATTAATGCAGCCCTTCCCCAAATTATTAACACACGTGAGTTTCCCTTCCACAATTCTTAATTAATGACCACCGTGCTCCTAATAAGTATAATTCCCTCATATTAATTGTGGTCAACTCTTTTAGATTAAAAAGTTATCTAAACGAAATGTTTCTATTGATTGAACCAGTATTAGCATCATCCTAAAAAAAAAAACTGGAATCACCCTAACCTTTTCCTATTAACATGATCACAACAATACTTGCAATATTATCGTAATACCTTTTCCCCTAATCACTCTGTAAGGTTAATATGAAGTTCGTACGTTGATTTGATGGGTAGACGGCCATTGACGGAAATGGTTAACACTGTCGTTGAGTTGCCGGCAAAATCTCCACCTTATAGGTAAAAACAGTTGGGTTGATAATTAATGAATGGAGAGTAAGGGGACTTGATCAAGGCTGAGGTTTCATATGGAGGACTTAATATTAAAGACTTAGGATACTTCAATATTTCCTTATTGGCGAAATGGATGTCCAGATTCTTTTCAGAGGAGCATTCTTGGTGGAAATCTCTTATCGCCGCCAAATTTGATTATCACTCACTTTGCTGGAATTTAAACGTTGTCACAGGTGCCATGGGAAATTCCATTTGCAGACGCATTATTAAGATCTCTCATCATTTTTGGAAGGATTGGGTTATCAAACCAGGCTCCGGTTCGACGATTTCGTTCTGGAATACTGCAACTCCCACCAAGGTTTCCGCATTTGTTTGGCTTGTGTTTACACCTAAAATTAATTTGGATTAAATTAAATGCCGTATTAATTAGTCTTGGCATTTAATTCGATGCCGCGTGATAAAAAACGACATCGTTTAAAGATCAGCGACATCGCGGATGGTAAAACGGTGTCATGAGTAAGCCAACAACACCGCGATTAAAAATCGACACCGCAAGGAAGTTCGACGACACCGCGGTACTTGAAACGACATTGTTTACTAAAAAACAATGTGGGAGTGCCGCAGGGTTGGAGTTGTTATTGGAAAGGGAA